CCAGGCAAACCTGGCAAACCGGCACTGCCAGGAGAACCTTTGAGGCCAGGGCTACCTGGGAATCCTGGCAAACCTGCTTCTCCCTGGGTGGGGGAGGGAGAAGGAAAGAGGAAAATATTTACAGCTGGACAGGGCAAACCAAACAGAAAAATATTGTGACAATTTTGAAAGACCAACAGCTATATTGGGAGGGGGGTGTTTTTGGAATTATCGCTGCACACTGGAAGCACTTCAAAATGTCCTATATTATTTGTGGACAGAGGAATTGGAATAGCCCCACATTGCTCAATTTATCCAGGGAAAGGAGAAATCCTCATATGGTTTCCTTGAGATGGGTTCCGCCATCTGCAGCGTCCAGAACAGAGCATCCTTTACGTTTTCCCTAATTACAGTGATGCCTTGCTAGACGATGATAATCCGTTCCACTGAAATGGCTGTTTAGCGAAATCATTGTCTAGCGAAAAGCATTTCCCCGTTGGAATGCACTGAAACCTATTTAATGTGTTCCAATGGGGAAGAATCGTCGTTGTCTAGCAAATATTGGCCATAGGAAAGCTGCTTTGCGAACTGCCGACCAGCTGTTTAAATAGCTGTCTTGCGAAGCTTAGGTTTCCGAAAACACCCGTTTTGTGAGCACGGAGGGAGCTGTCAAAATTGTTGTCTAGCAAAAATTGGTTTGCAAAGCAGGGACCAAACATTGTCCAGCAAAATTCCCCCATAGGAATCACTGTTTTGTGAATCGCTATAGCGATCACAAAAAGTCAATGTCTAGCAAAAAAACCTGTCATGCGGGGTAACTGACTAGCGAGGCACGACTGTATTTGGGTATTGCTGCTGCTGTTTGGCTCATGACGCCGATGGTTGACAGGTGAGGCGCCATTTTTAATCCTCCCCAGCACCCTCGGCCCGCAAGCATCGCTGTGGTGAGGGCGGAATGGCCACACAAAAAGGCAGATAGGGCTCCTGACCTTCTAGTAATGGTGTGGAAGAGGGAATTTCACCAGGTGTAGCTTGTCATGCAAGCAACAGAGAACAAAATCCATCTAAAGTTTGGGATACAACTCTCAAGGCTTATCTATTGGCGATAAGATCTTTAACCTGTCCTAAAACATGCTAGCATTTCCAGCAATACCCTTTTGCTTCCCCCCCCAGAACACAGCTCCCACCCTCAAGAACGCCCCTCAAATTGAATTTAGCCCCTTGAGATTCCTCACCCTTGCTCTAAGCGAATCATATTCGCCTGCAGTTGTTGCTTTTGCAAGCATTTCCCTCCCCCCTTTCCGCTAGCTGGAGGCTGTGAGGCTTCCTATGACACCAAAGTTCTGCCCTTCGCCCCCAATCCCCATATTTTACCTTTGGGCCAGGTGGCCCCGGGATGCCGATATCGGAAAGGCCGGGCTCGCCCTTCTCCCCCTTCAGTCCAGAAAATCCGGGAGCCCCAGGCTGGCCTGGCCGTCCCATGAGGCCGGGTGACCCTTTTACACCAGGCGGACCTGCGCAAAATAGGAGGGAAAAAACCCACTTTGCAGTGACCGCACGTAAAGGCACGTCAGCGTTCTTTTGAGTGCACCAGAAGAAAATGTGTGAACAAAGATTCGCTCGCTAAAGTAACATCCTAAGACTCCGTGGCCTGAACCCAGATATGACATTTAACACAATTTATTCCCTCTGGAATTCTTCACGCTGTTTCCCCATAACTGCCACCAGACATGAAGACAGAACAGCTAAAGAAAGTAGAAAGGGCACAACACAGTATTTTAAGATTGTTGTGCATGCGGGTGCATACCCTTGGCCCCTGCTGGTGCCAAGAATTTGTCACTTCACGGTATAATTCTACACCTTTTTCCTTCCTCTCCTGCAAGGCTGACTCCTGAGTGGCCGCATTCACCCTTGCAGCCTGACCCTTTCCCCGCCTCTGCTTCTCAACCTCCGGCGGAAGCACAGATTGTCTGGACGTGCGACGGTTTACCTGGGAGTCCCATTTCGCCACTGACCCCTTTCTGTCCAGGGGGCCCAGTTGGTCCAGGCAGTCCGACTACGCCCAGGTCTCCCTTGGGACCTAGAGGAAACAAAGCATCTGTCATCCAAAGGGTGACCCTCACCACACGTTGCCCTCCGGGCACACAAGCACGGACGCCCACACGTGGCTCACAGCGACACAGGCGGAGGGATGCCGGGAGTTCACCATCTTAACAAACTTTGTTGTTGTTGTTTAGTTGTTAAGTCGTGTTTGACTCTCTGTGACCCCATGGACCAGAGCATGCCAGGCCCTCCTGTCTTCCACGGCCTCCCGGAATTGGGTCAAATTCATGTTGGTGGCTTCGATGACAAACTAGCTTTTCCAAACTCTCACTAGAACTTACTTCCTCAGGTGCATGGAGTGTCCTCTTCCTGCACTGGGATATACCGCAGGTCCCCCATCAAAAACACAGGGACCCAATTCCGTCCTTCAGAAACTGTGTTTCCTTACACTGAGTAGAGGATGGCCCTCGGACTCCACCCTACCATGTACGGAAGGTGATCGCTCTGAAGTTCCTTCACCATTTGTGTGGGCTTTCTATGAGAGTCAAGCTGCTGGCTTTCTAGGGTCATGATTCACATAGAGAGGAGGCACTGATCCTCCTCCTCTTAGCCCTGCAGAGCTGGAAGGGACCCTCTTGTTGAGGAGGCCCGGGGGTGTGTGTGTGGAAATCCAGCTCCCAACCTCTGGCTCTGCAGCCAGACGTGCCACAGGGCTCTCCAGCAGTTCGATAAACAGGTGACGTCAAGTCAGTTCTGACTGATGGCAATCCTTTTCAACGTTTTCCAGGTAGAGAATGCTCAAGCGTGGTTGGCCCTCCCTGTCTTCTGGGGGTGCCTTGGGACCAGGCAGCTGGCCCAAGGCTACGCAGGCTGGCTCTTTCTTCCTAGAGGCCCAGTGGGGGAATTGAACTCCCAACCTCCGGCTCTACAGCCAGAGGCCTCAGTCACTGAGCTACCCAACAGTCCATAGCATGTGTCACTCTCCATGTGCCAGAGCACAGCAACAACAGAAAGATGGGTAGCTTGACTAGGGCATGACTTCTGGATGACTGCATAGGGCTAAGAGGTTCAGCGGATCCTGATCCCATGTCCTTGAGGGCCCCTACAGAAACACCATGAGACTCTGTATCCACTGCATGGCACCGGTTCCCCCATCTCACTATACGCGTACATACCTGAATGGAAGTGAAGAGATGATTCTTACCTGGCAGTCCAGGCATTCCTGGTGGCCCAGATAGTCCGGGAAGCCCTGGGTCGCCTGGGATGCCTTGGTAACCCTTCTGCCCTGTTAAGCCAGGTATCCCTTTAAGGAAAGAAACAAAAAAGGAATGACATGGGTAGCGAATAAAGTAGAGATGTCTGAGAAGGATTAGCTGCCTTCAAGGTGCAAGAACATCTTTGTTTTTCACCATGCTAAGTTTCATTGCGAACGGATGATGAATCTAGATTGGGCATTGCTCGTGCACCCCACTTAAAAAAAAATTCACTCAAGCATAGGCAGACCAGAGAATGATCCCTGCAGCTGACTGTGCTTTTCTACGGGATAAGCCCTGCAAACAGGGTTAGGTCCAGAGCTGAAAAGAAGGTTGAAAACCACTGATTGGTGTTGCCTCAGAAAGGAGCACAGCGACAACCACATCTCACCTGGTGTTCCCGGCTCTCCTTTCTCTCCTTTGGAACCCAACTTATCCAGATCAACTTGTCCCGGCAGTCCCGGCAGGCCTGTCTCGCCCTTGGTACCTTTTTGCCCTGCAGGCCCTGGCCGGCCCGGCGGGCCTGGTAAACCATCGTTGCCTGCACAGGGAACCAACGAAACGGAGAATCTATCATTAATTGCAATGGCCCATCCTTCAAAAATGGCCACATACAGAGATGGCCCTCGACAATGGCTTCCTTTGCATGGCCAACCCATTGAAATAATTCCCCAAGCATCCAGCAGATCTAAAATACTCTTCATTATCCTGCACTCCTCCAATGGGTCAGAATCATAGAATTATGGAGTTGGAAGGGGCCTCCTGCTCAAGGCAGGAATCTAGATCCGACAGAGGGTGGTCCAGTTTTCTCTTGAAGGCCTCCAGGGTTGGAGAGCTCACCACCTCCCGAGGTCATGGGTTCCCTTGTCATAATGCACTAACAATTAGGTAATACAATCAAAATCGGGCTTTCTGTAACTTCAGCACATCCATCCCGCCCTCCCCGAGGTCATGGGTTCCCTTGTCGTACTGCACTAACAGTTAGGTAATACAATCAAAATCTGGCTTTCTGTAACTTCAGCACATCCCTCCTGCACTCTGGGATGTGTGCACATTTTAGCCTCATGGGATTGTGAGAAGCTGGCTCAACCAGACCCTTGGTCCACCTAGTAGCAGCTAGTCAAGAGTTGGACAGGATTATTTCCCAGTGCCGGAGATCCTAAGGATTGAATAAGGGCTTCCGTTCGTGATATATCAGCGGGTTACAGCACCAGGCATTGACGGATGGTTCCCCCCCTCTAAGTGCTAACCATGCCCAACCCAAATATCAAATGAGCTGACAAGTTCAGTGTGGCTCAGGCCGTAACTAGTGACTGGACTAAGATCATGACCTGAGATTTCTGGATGAATAAAGATTTGACACTCTGTCTGCCCTCATCCTCAACCACCCTATTAAAATAAGAAAGATCTAATTCAGCTCGACGGGTTAGCAACGGGCCAGCCCCCTTTTAAGATGGAATGGTGGGCTACAGACTTAACCAAGAATAACTGCATAAACAAATCACACTCTAGCCAAAGGTGCAGCTGACCGAGAGGGAAAGCCAAAGTTCCTCTCTTGTCCTCACTTCCATTGAACGGAATTTCAAAAGACCAAAATACACGTCCCAGCATTGTTGTTAGGGTGTTGCTGCTATAAAAACAGGGAAGTAGCACATTCTCTTACCTTTGAGGCCAGGGAGGCCACTTCGGCCAGGAGTTCCAGGGGACCCTTGAGGACCCGGTGCACCCATCACTCCCATCTCGCCCTTGCCACCTGGAAGCATGGACACCACCCATTTTAGTGTGTGTCCAACAACCACCAACCCCCAATACACAACCCTCTAAGCCTTTAGACAGCTTTCCGGCTTTTTAGCGCCAGCCTAGCAAATTGAAATCCTTCGGAAATGCAATAGCAAAGTGGTACGCCTACCACCTCTGAGCGATTTGTTGTAGATGGGTGAGGGTATAGGGCTTCTGATGGTTTAATAGCTACAACAAAAGCATTTCCCTAGGTTGCTTTATGTTTATGACAGCGGTGGAGTGGATTTGCAAGTAGAGGGGATGGTAGGGTTGCCATAGTCATGGTCACTGAGCTCAGGTATCTCAAACAAACCCTTCAGTCTAGAATTCTTCAGTTACAAGTGCACATGGCGCACAGCAGATGATCTTGAGGTTACAGGAGAGAAAAGACAAAATGTTCTCAACTCTTCTGGACCAAACTGAATTAGGAGGTGGATGGACCGATTTTGAAGCTCTCTACCTCTTTTGTTTCCTTACAGTACAGAAAGCGCTCTTCGCTACACTAATCGCTGCACAGGTACGGAGCGCGGGAGAAACACACCTGGAAATCCTGGGAGGCCATCTCGTCCTGGTGGTCCAGCTGGACCTGGAGGCCCCGGGAGGCCAGGCGCTCCAGGGAATCCGGGGGAGCCTCTGTCACCGGGAGGGCCTGGACTGTCGAATCCGGGTGGGCCAGGATCTCCCTTTTCGCCTGACGCCCCTGGTAATCCTAGACATTGTTATTAGACACGGTCATTCACTGAGGTAGCTGCATCAAAAGAGCCAGGGTGGATCTGATCCACGGCCTATAAAGTGCACCATTCTGTCTCCACCGTGGCAACCAAATTGCATATAGGGAGCCTGACAGGGCAACGCGAGTTTAGTGTGTGTCCAACAACCACCAACCCCCTTGCCTTGGACACCGGAGGTAGCTATCCTGGCTAACCTCAATGAATCAATTCATCTCATCCTTTTTTAAAGTTGGCAACCATCACTGCTTTCTTACACCAACAAACTCCACAGTTTAACAATAGATTGATTCCCCTCGTGGAACCATCACCAGCGTAGCACTTCCTGCTTTGCCTTGGACACCGGAGGTAGCTATCCTGGCTAACCTCAATGAATCAATTCATCTCATCCTTTTTTAAAGTTGGCAACCATCACTGCTTTCTTACACCAATGAACTCCACAGTTTAACAATAGATTGTGTGTAGATTTACTACCTTTTGATTGGTTCCAAAAGTGCAGGATATAAATAAAATAAAAAAATAAAAAAATTAATAAATAGATTTACTACCTTTTGATTGGTTCCAAAAGACATCTAAGTTTACTTCCTTTCCTCTCCTCTCCTCCATTAGCAGGCAAAGACATCCATCCATCCATCCAATTTCCTTCTACTTACATTCAGGAAGGTCTTGGGCATGCAGAGGATCTAACTGGATGGATATCTTTATATTTTGTTTATGCACTGATGAGTTTTTCCTATTTATTGGACTCCCACCATCATCATTCAGAGGACGCTCTCTAGGCTGAATTATGGGAGTGAAAGCCCCATAGCAGAATGAAAGAGACAGAAACACTGTTCCATCTCATGCTGTTATGAAGCTTCCACTGCCATAATTCAGCCCCGGGAGCTTCACTCAGTTGTGGGGATGGAAGCCCATTAGATATCGAAGTCCTGCCCCTAATGGATGTGTTGGGTTTGAGACAGATCTTGAGATGCTGGACAGGACCAGCAGGTTCAGCACCAAGGACAGTTCCCAGTCATCAGTAAGAACAGCTTGGGATTGCACTGAGGTTGGCCACTCCCTCCAAGCTATGCCTCTATTCTTCCCTTACAGCAGCAATTCCCAACCTTAGGTCCACCAGATATTCTTGGACTGCAACTCTCATAAGCCTTTGCCTCTATTCTTCCCTTACAGCAGCAATTCCCAACCTTAGGTCCACCAGGTATTCCACCAAGAACACCTTGGGTTACTCAAGGCTGGGAACCATTGCCTTACAGGGCCACTGCTTGGCCTTAAAGACTAGTTCTTTGCCACCTTTACAAGAACTCCTGCTGAGAACACTGCTGGCATTGACATGCCTGCTACTGTGATCCAAGGACTCCGGGAAGCGGGTGACCTACACCAACGCAAGAGTCAACCTCCAAAGATGCCACAGTTGTTTCAGGCACAGACTCCTCAAATTCAGGGTTGTTGGGTCCGGTTGGCCATAGCCTCTCAGGCCTGTCCGGCCCAAGGGTCCCCTCCACTGGACCCTCACTTTCTGCCTCTGTCTCCAGATGACTGCTGGATGCCTGGAACATGGTGCTGTCTCTGCATTGTATTGTTGCGTTTTTTTTTTATTTGCTGTGTTGTGCTTTATGTCAGAGATTGTTTTAAGCCAAGTGGTGTAATTGTCCGAGGCATGGAGACCTTTTTATCGGCAGAAGGGTTTGACACAAATAAAACAGACAGACAAAGAGACAGACAGGCAAACAGCCTCCCATCACTACACCCAAAGAGAAACAGATTCCAAAGAGCAAAAATCCCTCTTTTTTTTGCTGATTATGGATGGAACAATGAACTGCAGGGGGTAAAGAAAGGGAAAAGACATTTGGTCACCATGCGGATGGGGTGATCTTGTATTCAGGCCCATTTTTGCACAGAGGGAATGTTATGCAGAACCATTTGCCTTTTTTTTTCAAAAAGAAGGAAAGGAAATCTATCCCTTTAATGAGGGGGTGAGGGAAGAAGGCAGATTATGGAAACCACAGTACCTGCTGGGCCTGATAAGATGAAAAGCCACCGCGGTAATAATTCGTCAGTCAGTTGAAGCACAGGAAGTAGTAAGGAGTTGAGAGAATGCCATTAGGGTTAAGGATACAAAAGGAAGCACATGAGCGTTAGACCAAAAAGCTACACAATGGCTTCATTCCACAGCTCATTGTCTCAGAAGAATTCATGATAAATAAATGGGCTGTGGACTGTAGCCAGCATTAGTCAACTAGCCCAAGGACGCTGTCCGGGTACGCATTATCTACAACACGGAAAGTGGACTTCAAGTAGGTCCTGACTGAAACGTTTTCCAATGGATAGACGTTGTCATATTCCAAGAAAGACAAAATGTTTTTCTATACAGAAATGCCAATGGAAATAAAATCTCTTGATTCCATTGGAATCAAAACCAAATGCCTCCATATTCTTATCAGAATAGGCTCCAAACACATCCGCCATGCCAGAATGATGGCCATGAGCTAATTGACTGGAGATTTTTACTCCTTTCTTTTTTTAAAAAAAAGGTTTGTCTGGCAATGTGGCCACATACAGAAATATAAAATATATCTGAATAAATGGTGACATTCGCAGTGGAAAACGTGAACCAAGACACCTGTTTCAAGATACACGTGCAATCAATGAAGACTGAGTTTAACGCTATCTCTTTGTAACACAAATATTGTGTTAATGCTGTCCCACAGTATCGACTAAAAATTGAATGGCTGGAAAAAAAATATGAACAGGAGAATGGATAAGTAAGACAGAGTTGCAAAGCAAAGGGAGAAACAAAGACCACCGAGGTAGATTTGTTAGTACATTCTTCAGCTGTACAGTTACTGAGTGATACTGGCAACAAATAAATAAATAAATAAAAATTACAGAGATGGTTTGAGGTAGGTAAGTGGGTAGGTAGGTAAGTACGTAAGTAGGACAGACAGACGATCCAACCCTTGGCAAACAGGTGGCATGGGTGACCAAACAGCATGTGGGTACATACGCATAAAGAGATGTGTTACATGCAGAGAATCACGTGAGATACTCCAGCATGGCACATGGGGAGGGCATAAAAAGGTAACACGAAACCAAGATATCTCCCAACAGAAATTTGCTTTCATCTGTTTTCACGGCAGGAGAGAAAGCACTGGCGGGCCTTTACGCTGATATTACCACTTGGGGGCTTGATTTAAGAATACAGTCCAGGCACAGGGCCAAATCTTGTTCATGCCAGGGTAAAGTTATGCTGGTGTAAATGTGCTTCCAGGTAAAGAAGACTCAGAAGTGGTTTCCCCTTCCCTTCCTCTAGGGGGAGCCCTGGGACAGTGCAGCTTGCCCAAGGCTGCCCAGGCTGGCTCATCTCCCTGGAGGCACAGAGGGGGAATCGAACTTCCTGAAGAGGTAGCCACAAAGCCTTCCTCAACCTCTAGTCTAAGCCAATGGCTTCCCTAGAGCCATTCAGTCTCCAACTGGTCTATGTCTTGGTCCCAAGTTTGATCTCTCTGGCCTCCTTGCCGCAGAGTGCTTTTCACTCTTTCCCTGCTAACTCCCTATTCTCTTTTCATCATCCCCGAATGTTCCAAATCACTCACAGTCTGTTTTCCAGAATTCTACCAGAACTTTGTTCTTGAAATCTCTGTTGGGTTCCCAGCACATCTTTGCTGTGCCAATGAGGTTTATTTCCTGGCCCGCGTTTGGAGCATTATCAGTCCCAACAAAATGAGTTTGATGCCCCACTGAAAAGCAAGCTAAGAACTGCAAAGCTGGAAAGGACCCTATGGATCATCAAAAGTCCAGCCCCTGTCAAGGAGGCCCAGGGGGGGAACTGAACCCCCAACCTCTGGCTCTGCAGCCAAATACCTAAACCACTGAGCCATCCAGCTGTTCTCATTGCCAGTGGAAACCCTATAGTCCATCAGATAGATGTTCTGGACTTCAATTCCCAGAAGCCTCAGCCAGCATGGTCAATGGTAAGGGATTATGGGATCGTCAGCCAAAAGACCTTGGAGGTGAGTGGACCAAGGCTCCCCACCTTACCTTTTCCATCTTATTTCTTAACAAACACACATGGTAGAACTTGGAGGGAGGTATGAAAGAAATAAGGATTCTGAATGAAATACAGTGGTGCCTCGCTTGACAAGGATAATTCATTCTGTTCATATCGCTGTTAAGCGAAATCCTTGTCAAGCGAAACGAAAAAGCCCATTGAAATGCATTGAAAACCAGTTCAATGCATTCCAATAGGAGAAATACCTCAGCGTCCAGCGAAGATCCTCCATAGGGTGGCCATTTTTTGGTGCCTGTAATGTGAGGAATCTGTCCTAAAGCACAGCGGGGAGCCATTTTGCACAGTGGGTGGCCATTTTGAAACCCGACGACCAGCTGTTTTTGATCGTCGTTAAGCAAAAAATCAGTTCCCGAAGGAGGGAATCAATCAACGTGAAGCAAAAAAAGCCCATTCAGTCATCGTTTAGCGATCACAATATCGATCGCAAAAAATCTGTAATGTGAGGAATCTGTCCTAAAGCACAGCGGGGAGCCATTTTGCACAGTGGGTGGCCATTTTGAAACCCGACGACCAGCTGTTTTTGATCGTCGTTAAGCAAAAAATCAGTTCCCGAAGCAGGGAATCAATCAACGTGAAGCAAAAAAAGCCCATTCAGTCATCGTTTAGCGATCACAATAGCGATCGCAAACAATTAATCATCAAGCGATTTCCTTGTCTAACGAGGTAATCATCAAGTGAGGCACCACTGTACTGGCTTATTGGACTAAGGACTTGGTTTGGGGTGTTGGTGATGTGATAGGGATTTAGCCATGCAAGAAGTTCAGAGCACCAGGCATGGGTTTCAACCCACAACCTCAGAGGCTTCAAACACAGATTGCCAGCCCACGCTTTCGCATGATGCTGTGGTCCGTGAAGGCTAAAATAAATTTGTTGCAGACGACGGTCATGCAGACAGCAAGGCATTGGTGAACAGAAGGGACCCTATTTCAACAAGTTGTTTGGAGTTACAAGGAAAATTGTGTAGAAGGTCAGACAAACACATTCTGATGGTACAGCAATCACTGGGTGACTTTCAAGCCTGTTCTGTACAAACCCACAACCATGAAATCACATCAGGAGCACATTCGAAGTTTCTTGGTGAGTTTTTGTTTACTCCACCTATGTCATTGGTGTAAACCAACGTCTTCATCAGGAGAGAAAACTCTGGTGAACAAAGTCCATGTTTGACGGAAACAGGTGACCAACATGTTAACAACAACATAGCGATTCTCTCCAGGTCTACTTTGAAATAATGAAAAGCATCATCTTCTCTTAACTCCCACCCCAGGTACATAATTATGTACCAGGTACTCCCAGACCATAATGAAAAGCATCATCTTCTCTTAACTCTCACCCAAGGCCATCGGTACATAATGATGTGCCAAGTACTCCCAGACTATCAGAACCACAATCAACCTTTTCCACTTCTGCTTATTTGACCTAACGAAAGGTTTGGGAAATTCTTTCTAGAAGAAACACAATTAAAAGACGGCTATGAAGGGCAGAATCAACATGATGTAAGGTATATATAAGAAATTCTTTCCCACAAAGGCAATACAGTAGAACCCCGCTATCCACAGGATCAGTATCCACTGATTCACTTATCCACTGCCTTAAAAGACTATATAACTCCCCCCTGCCCCAGAAATACCTATTTATATGCATTTCCAGGAATGCTTTTACCAAAACTGGCCATGGAGGAAGCCGAAGACCATGCAATATATAGTGTTTGATATTTTTGTATTTTTCGGCATCGGGGCGGGGGGCTGAGAACCAACCCTCTGTGGATACGGTGGTCCAACTGTATCGCTCATAGGTCTGAGATGGGACGATGCCCTTTACAAATTAGTTCTCTGAAGGCTTACCTGGTGGACCCACAGGTCCTGGAGGCCCAGGTGAGCCAGGTGGACCTTGGCCACCAATCCCCGGGAAACCTGGAGGTCCTACTAAGCCAGGTTGGCCACGTGGCCCAGGGTCCCCTGTAAAGAAAGCCCCCCCACACCAGATGTTTAAAAGACAACACAGGATTGCAGAGCAAAAGAAGCAGTCTTGAGTAGCACGAGAAGCAGTCACATTCAATACTGAATTTCCCCAAAAATAGGACAAGGTCTTCTATTAATTTTAGGCTCCAAAGAACACAGTAGGGCTTATTTTCAGGGGGTGTTGTCTTGTTTTCAGGAACAACGATCTACATTTATTCAAATACAGTCATGTCATCTTCGTCTGGTTGCTGGACAAGGGTGGACGGCAGGGTTTCACTTTGTTGTTGTTTAGTCATTAAGTTGTGTCCAACTCTTTGTGACCCCATGGACCAGAGCACGCCAGGCCCTCCTGTCTTCCACTGCCTCCTGGAGTTGGGTCAAGTTCATGGTGGTCGCTTCGATGACACTGTCCAACCATCTCGCCCTCTGTCGTCCCCTTCTCCTCTTGCCTTCACACTTTCCCAACATCAGGGTCAGGGTCTTTTCCAAGGAGGGGTTTCACTTCACTGGGGCTTATTTTGGGGGGTAGGGCTTATATGATGAGCATCCTTAAAAATCATACTAGGGCTTATTTTCCGGTTAGGTCTCATTTTGGGGGGAAACAGGGTAGATTGCTTCCAATAGAACTAAGGGTGTAATGAAGTTATATTTTAAAATCAATACAAAGAAAGAGAGAGAGAAATTAATAGGACTCACCATCTCATTCCTTCTCTCTCTCATTTTTAGTGTAATGAGTAAACTTTGCTAATTAACTTTTTAGCTACCCTTTTAGGGCATTTTAGCCATTTTATAAGATTTTTTTTTTTAAAAAAAAAACTGGACCTTTCCAACTTTCATGCCATTCTCTTCTGAGTCCTAAGCCCCCTCAACCAAGAAGTCATGAAAAAGTAACTAAAGCGAGGAGTAACACAACCTATTGCTTTCAACATTGCAACGGATGGCAGAAACATGTGTCTTTTAATGGGACGACGTACAGCCTCACAAGTCCTTAGATTCAAATCCAATGTGTATGGCCAAGTGCTGTATTTCTATAGGCAGCTTTGGAGACGCCAAAGATGGTCACCTTCATTTAGATTCCACACCAAAAGACAGTTTGTGCTACCACCAGGCAACCCACCCATGACATGAAGCTGCTTTTTTAAGTCTCCAGTCTTCTTACCCCTCCAGTACAGTTTTCATCCTCAGAGTCACAACAGTGGCCATTGACTGTTATTTCTCAATTTGAACATCACAGCTACTACTAACCACCACTCACATAAAGCTTTGGTTTCTGAGTCTGACATGCTGGCTAACAACAAGCCGTGTTTTATCCAAATGACCATCACTTTAAACCACAGTTAAGTTGATGCTTCCGTAACCACGATCTGCACTCACCCAGTCTTCTGACATACCCACCACAAAAACACTGTGTAATTCCAGGAACACAGAAAGACATCTTACACTGAATTCAACTACAGATTCCTCAAATTCAGTTTTATCGGCACTGAGTGGCACAATTAAATATCGTACCTTTGGGGCCCGGAGTTCCATCAAAACCTGAACGCCCAGGAATACCAGGGCTTCCTGGGAAACCAGGATCTCCTTTGGGGCCCTGAGTTCCTTTAAAACCTGGTGGTCCAGGGGGCCCAGCTGGTCCGGGGACACCAAGACCACGATCCCCCTGCAAGGAAAAGGAAGGAAGGAAGGAAACACAGAGAGTTTAGAACACTTTCCATCTTCATGAAATACCACTGTATTTTCATCTCTTGTAGATTCACAATGTCTGGCTCCCCAAAAAGAAAATTATATGAAGATGCATGACTCTTCGGTTAGTAGACAAATAACAGCTAACATAACATGTTGTTCCAACTGACAAACCATGTTTCCCAGTTACCCAGCAAACCAGGATCAGAAAAGATGGTTGAATGTAGGCTTCCCATTTTCAAAATTACAATTTCTTCTATAGTATAAGGTTTAGTGTCCGAACTTTAAAACAACAACAGCAAATCAGAGTCAAAGCTATTTCAACCATCCATTATAGCAGAGAAAGATGAGTGCTAAAAAAATGAGAGAAACTTTGAATAGACTCCTGTCTATTTGGAAATTCAAACTGCGATCTACATTCTGAATTCTGGTTACTAGTGAAACCATCATGGTTTAGCACGAGAGCTATATTTAGCTTGATTTTAGACCAGAGTGGTCACTCTTCTCTATTCCTTTGAAATTTTGGATAATTATGTTGTTTTGTGTGTCCCCACAATGAATTTCTATGCCTTAGTGGGGAATTAAACTCAGGAGAGATATTCATTCAAACTGAGCAGGAATTTGAACCCAGTACTTTATCCACTACATCACAGGGGCTCTTGGTATCGAAAGCTCCACACTAATTCCCATCACGAGCCCATGGGTGGTGCGGACATGGTAGCATCTTTCGGCTGAAGGCCAGGTAAAGATTTTCCATATTATTTACAGGACCAGAAGGTGCGATGAATTTGGTCCATTTAGGAAGCCCAGTAGTCCAGCATGCTTGCACGTGCCAGCTATGTACATAATCCCAAGGAAAGCAAGAGAGCCACTGTTATAAACCTTTTGTCCTGGCATTCCAGGTGGCCCCGGGGGTCCATCCAGACCTGGTCTTCCTGGGTTACCTGCATCTCCAGCGGGACCTGGCAATCCGGAGAACCCTAGAACACCACAAGAAGAATTTAGAAAACGGTACCCGCATGATTAGGGGTGTGGAAAGCTTCTGTTCTCAGCAGAGGGCATGGTTTTACAGCAAGTTATAGTGTGTTCAACTCTGACACTGGAGTAATCACAGAGGGGCAATTTGTCTTTCTGAAGACTACCTGTGGGGGGGAATATAATGGTGGGAGAAAGTGACCGTCCTCGTGTCCTCGTTTGTGGGCTTCCCATTGGCAACTGTGCAAAAACTGGAGTTGTTGCGTGTAGATCAGGTAAGGCCTTCTTATGGTCTCAAAACCTTCCTAACCAGCCAGCTCACTTTGTGAGATAAATTCCCAGCTTCCAGAGCAGGGTCTGATCCTTCCTCAGCTCTATACAGGACCCACCAAATATGCCATCAAGTCAGGCTTCGTATGTGTTTTTAAAAACTTTTGGAAAACCCCGTGGATGAATGACCTCCCAAAGGTCCTGTTGGCAGCAATCCTGCTCAGGTTTTGAAAACCAGAGGCTGTAGCTCCCTTTATGGACTCTATCCATTTCCCATGAGGTTCGTCTCTTTTCCTGTCCCTTTCAACATTTTGAAGCATTATTGTCTTTTCCAGTGAGTCTTGTCATCACAGGATGTGCTCAAGGTACCATTGCCTCCTTTCAGCCATTTCAGAAAATATGGCTACTATAATTTAACCATACCTGGGGAACAAATGACCTGTAGGCCACCATAGGGCCCACCTGGTTCATTGTTGTGCCCTCTTGAACATCGAACCTCCCCTCCAAATTAAAAGCAAGGAGAATCACCTCTCCTGGCAGTCATCTCCAAAATAAGGCAGAGGACTTTGCTTCACAAGAATGCCTCTGTTTGTGTGTGCGCTTAGGTTTCTCACACATGATTTAAAATTTGAATTCAACTATGTTATGAATGGGAATCTGAAAAGTCCACATGCTGTGCTTTCACTATTTTGGACCATTTCCTTTTTTAACCCCCCTTCCGCCCCCCAAAGTTAGAATATTAAAGAGCGAGATAGCGAGCGAGCGAGCGAGCGAGAGAGAGACCCTGTTGTCTAGAATCCATTTGGTGCTTGCAGAAAGCTTGTGCAACTTGGCCATAGCCAATTGTGGCTAACTGATGAGGTGCCGTGTTGCATGACCAAGCACATGGCCAGGATAGCCCTCAGCACCTTGGCAATTAGCCACGGCAAGTTACAAACACTTTCTGTGAGCACCAGTGAGATTCTGGTCGCTAAAAGCCAAGACTACAGTAAGCGAATTGAAGAACATAGAATGTTATTTATTATTGAATGTATTTATTTTAAAACATTTTTACCCTGCTTTTCCTTTAAAGGGACCCAGCTATATTTTTTTCCTTTGTCTATGGCCCAAAGGCAATTTTTTAGGGGGGTGCATGACCAAGCACATGGCCAGGATAGCCCTCAGCACCTTGGCAATTAGCCACGGCAAGTTACAAACACTTTCTGTGAGCACCAGTGAGATTCTGGTCGCTAAAAGCCAAGACTACAGTAAGCGAATTGAAGAACATAGAATGTTATTTATTATTGAATGTATTTATTTTAAAACATTTTTACCCTGCTTTTCCTTTAAAGGGACCCAGCTATATTTTTTCCTGTGTCTATGGTCCAAAGGCTATTTTTTTTTTGGGGGGGGGTTGTCCATTTTAATTTTATCTCTCCCCCAAGGGACACAGATTGACCTACATAGTTACGCCTCTTTCCTTCCCACAACCACCCGTGAGATTAACCATGTTAAGAGGCAGTGATTAGCCCAGTTCACCCAGAAAGCTCTGTAGATGAATGAAAATTTTAACTCAAGTTTCTACAGGACGTGTGCAAGGATCTAATCAGGACATCATACTAATATTACACTCGGAAGACAAACCTTTAGGCCCTGGTGGACCCGGACGTCCAATGCCAGGGAACCCTGGATCTCCTTTTTGCCCAGGGAATCCAGGTGCGCCAGGTTGTCCCGGCTGCCCAGGATCACCTGAAACAGAGCACATGTCAGTTAGCAAAACCAGCCAATCACCTGAACGTGAAAAGCCAAGCCACATCACCAGGGAACACTTACCTGGAAGGCCGACTTCGCCATCTCTGCCTGGAGCGCCGGGGTTTCCCGGTGGCCCAGCCTCTGTAATAGTTTGGCCTGGTTCTCCCTTGGGTCCTGAAAGCAGGAAAAATACAGGTGGGTTATGCGCGACTAGCCGTAGAAATAACAAGATCGGAACCCAAATCATGATGGTGACGGCCACCACCGTCACCAGCACAAAAACAGACCCAAAAAAAAGAATATCAGACTAAAAGATCATCAAGAAGGCCAGGAGCACCACCTCAATCATTTTATGAGTTTTCGGCCGACTTCGCCATCTCTGCCTGGAGCGCCGGGGTTTCCCGGTGGCCCAGCCTCTGTAATAGTTTGGCCTGGTTCTCCCTTGGGTCCTGAAAGCAGGAAAAATACAGGTGGGTTATTCGCGACTAGCCATAGAAATAGCAAGATTGGAACCCAAATCATGATGGTGACGGCCACCACCGTCACCAGCACAAAAACAGACCCAAAAAAAAGAATATCAGACTAAAAGATCATCAAGAAGGCCAGGAGCACCACCTCAATCATTTTCCAGCATGAGTTTTCCTTAACGACTCGCAAATTTTATTTTTTTAATTTGTCCGATTCATACCCCATCTCTTCTCCAGAACTAGAATCCAAGAGGGCTCACATAAAGATTGGAAAATGCAGTGACTAAAATATATATAACCGTGCATATATATATATATATGAGCTATCCAATATATATATAGTTTGCTAGGGTATCCATACGTCTGGCTCCTTCCTGGCAGCATAAGAATGTCTATGAATTGCTGGGTAGCTCAGTGATTTAGGCATCTGCATGTGGAGCCAGAGGTTGGGGGGTTTGATTCCCAACCAGGCCTCCTCGGGTGGGGCTGGACTCGAGGATCCATGGGGATTTGTCCGATTCATACCCCATCTCTTCTCCAGAACTAGAATCCAAGAGGGCTCACATAAAGATTGGAAAATGCAGTGACTAAAATATATATAACCGTGCATATATATATATATATATGGGCTATCCAAGAACTGGAAGGAGCATGGAGTCCATCAAAGAGGCACCAAGGTCTTTTCCAACTCTGCAGTTCTAAGACAACGACGACAACAGTGATGATAACATGTCTGCCAGTGGAAGAACAGCAGGTTGGTCTTTTGCTGCACCTAATGATAATCTGAGAGCTGCAAAACTGGAAGGAGCATGGAGTCCATCAAGAAGGCACCAAGGGGGAATCAAACTCCCAACCTCTGACTCCACAGCCAGATATCTCAACCCCTGAATTATCCAGTTTTTAATTCAAGGAAAAGGAAATATACCTACCTGGGACCCCCGGGGGTCCAGGGCGTCCTGAAACACCCTGAATGCCCTTCTCTCCTGGTGGACCTTGTGGGCCAAACCCAGGGGGCCCCGGGGGCCCTCGATCACCGGTAAGTCCAGGAAGCCCTGCATCGCCAGGAGGCCCCCTCTCACCCTTGAAAGAGATGACCCCCTAAGAAGACAAAGAAGAAGAGAATGAAAACAATTTATATCCCAGCAGTTTGGTTCAAACCCTGTTCTTTTATTCCAAAAGATTCAGCTGAAGCCAATGTTGGAAAGCCTGCCTTCTCTCACTGGCTGTGTCACCAGGGTGCGGTGGGGGGACCAAGCACAGCCCCTCAGATTTTGTTGGATTGCAATTCCTAGCCTTTGGGGCATGCTAGCTAGAGTTGACATGGGTTGCAACCTAATTCAGCCTGCCTTGTATTTGGGGGAGCAAATGGAATACAGGAGGCTAACTCAGAACTCGCCCTTCGCAGTACAGCCACTTAGGCTGAATTTCCATTCAGTCTCTACACAAATCTTGACCCAGTTGGGGGGAAAAATGATCAAAACGTATTTCGATCAGATGATACAAAACGGGCATGGGGGTTCCCAGCATGTAAGGAAAAGGAGGCCGGCCAGCCAAAATATATGAAAGAAAAGGTGAAGCGAGCATTCGAATGGATGTCTCCACCAACATTCAAAGCTAGGCGTTGCCCAATTGATGGACAAGTTTGGCAACTTGAGTGTTGTGTTAGGCACTCAAGGGATGTGGGTGCAACTAGCAAGGAGTGGACCCGGGACCCTCCTTAAATGGCTCCTAGATCTTGCAAACTTCCAGAATCTCCTAGAGGTTGTGGTCCAGAGAAGCAACGTTTCTATGTTGAGCACCGATAGAGGAAATGGAACTCAGGAATCTCACTTCTCGGTCAAGATTGACAAAGCGCTCAAGTTTGCACGAACGTACCGGCTCTCCTTTCAGCCCGGGAAGGCCTGGCAGCCCATCTTTTCCAGGTGTACCATCTAATCCAGGTAGCCCTGGAGCGCCTGGGAAGCCAGGATCTCCCTTTTCACCTTTCATTCCAGGGAAAGCAAGGACATCCCCCGGATCCCCTTTCGGACCTGGAAGGCCAGGGATACCTGGAGGGCCAGGAAGACCCTAGGAGAAAAAAAAAAAACAGTGAACTACTTCAGTAATTAGGTTTGCATGGATCCGTCCCTCCACTCACCCTCTAACCCCAGACAACCACAAACAACCCTTTAATGATACTTACTTGTGGCCCAACAAGACCAACCAAACCAGGAAAACCTTTGTCTCCCTTCGGCCCAGGTATACCAGGAGAACCTTATCAGAAAGAAAAGAAAGACTCTATGGTAGGAACAGCTGGCTGGATCGCTCAGTGGTTTAGGTATCTGGGAGTTTATTTTCCTACTGCGCCTCCTACCTGGGTAGCCTTGGGCCAGCTGCGCAGTCCCAAGGTTGCCCCCAGAGGAAGGGAACGGTAAAACACTTCTGAGCAGAATTCTCTACCTAGAGAATCCTGGAAAGGGTCACCACAAGGTCAGAATTGACTTGACAGCACATACTTATTATGGTGGAAACAAGGCAGCTGTCTACCTGCCAACACAAACCTGAAGCTTAGTTTGCTTGAAGGCGCCTAGAATTTCAGAAGAAGCCACTGATGTTCTGCTCAGTACGGTGAAAAAATAAATTGCTCCCTGGATTTAGGGATGGCGCTAGTTGGATTACAGATTGGCAGAGTTCCCCAGTACTCTCCGCTCTGCATTTTCTATGGTTTTGCTTATTCTGCATCATGTGCTTTTCAATTTAATTTGGATCGTTCGGAAAACAGATTTTGGAGTTGGCAACATTAAGCCAGTTCACAGCCAACCTGTTCTGTTCTTACTGCATTTCTCTCTCTGTCTCTCTCTCCCACCTTTCCGCTTAAAAAAAGAGGGGTGGGTGGGTGCACTAGAAAGTAGCACACAGAAATCAATGAAAAGCATGCCACAAAGCAACAAAACCATGACTATCATCGCAATGATCAAAAAAATATCCAAACAGCTGAAAAGGTTCTCTCTCTCTCTCTCTCTCTCTCCCAGCTTTCCACTAAAAAAAGAGGGGTGGGTGGGTGCACTCGAAAGTAGCACACAGAAATCACCGAAAAGCATGCCACAAAGCAACAAAACCACGACTATCATCGCAATGATCAAAAAATATCCAAACAGCTGGAAAGGTCGGACTGAAGAAACACTCTTCTGAAAAGCAGGAAGTGTGGGAACTGAACTGGGGTGAAAGCGATCCACAACACTGGACCCTCTATGTCAGTGGGTCCCAACTCTGCTTAGCCCTGTTTTCGGCTTGTTTAGCCTTGAGAAAAGAAGACTAACAGGAGATCAGATAGCACTTTTCAAATACTTGAAACGTCGTCAGACAGAGGAAGGGCAGGATCTGTTCTTGATCATCCCAGAGTGCAGGACGCATTGTAACGGGCTTAAGCTACAGGAAGCCAGATTTAGGATGAATATCAGGAAAAAAAACACTTCTTAACTGTTAGAGCAGTACGACAATGGAATCAGTGACCTCCAAAGCTGCAAGCATTCAAGAGAAAATTGGGCAACCCTCTGTCAGACCTGCTTTGATTTGGATTCCTGCCTTGAGCAGGGGGGTTGGACCCCATAACCTTATAGGCCCCTTCCAAGTCCATCATTTTATGATTCTAAAACTCCCAGAAGCCTTCACCACTAGCTGCGCTGGCCAGGATTTCTGGGAGTTGTAGTCCAAGAACATCTGGGGACCCAATGTTGGGAACTACTACTCTATAACAGTCAAGGAGACCTCTTGATGGGCGGTGATATTCTCTAGACAATGTTTGTTAAAGATCTGAAGAACTCTGCAGCAAAATAGCTCCCACAGAGCAGCCACAGCTTCAGCACCATGTGCTCATGCTTGTAATTTGTGAAGGTCTGTTTATATAAAGCAACTGGGCCGCTTTGAAAATACATAGTTCTAAACATGCATTGTAGAAACCAAGTGGAAAGTATGCCTTTACCTGGGCTTCCAGGAAACCCTGGCGTTCCTGGCTCACCAGGAGGTCCAGGAATACCACTTCCTATGCAGTTGAAGCAGGTATCTCCCTTGTCTCCTGCAAAGAGATCGAGACAGATTGAGAGAGAAGTGATGACCTGAACAGCCTTGCATGCATGAAATGTGGACCTCTCATTCTAACTAGGCACAGCCTTCTTCTAGAATAAAAAGTCAACACAAGGTAGACCAGAATCCAAACTGAGGTCTCTGCGGAATTTGCAATCGCTTGGCAAAGACTTCCAAATTTTCCAACAATAGCCACACATTTCCCCACCCACCCAACACCTTAAAACCATAGCGCTGAAATGAATAAAATTTGGGGGCAATCAAGAGGAGGCTTTGGCATCAGAAGTCTTGCAAGATCTATCAAGCTCTGGCACTCATTTGTACAACCATTTGTACAACCCAGGCTCCTTAGATCTAAAACCTATTTCTCATACACCCCATTCCAGTTGATGGATCGTGGACTTTAAAAAATAATCAGCAGAGACCCTCTGGCGGTGCCCATTCCTATTCTGTATTTATTTGTCCCACTGGCAGCCCGTCTTTCCTTTGAATACGTAACTTAAGAAAAGACCAAGAGGAATGAATGGCGTCGCAAGCGTATACCTTTCTGGCCTCTTTCACCCATAAATCCTTGCTCTCCCGGGAGACCTGGAACCCCGGGAAGTCCTCGCTCACAGAGCCGGTCAACTGGAAGAGAATGGAAATGCAGTTCAGGAAGGTAACAAACTTAGGGTCAGAATGACCAAGGAGAGGTTGGAAGGGTAATCTTAAGCTCTTTAAACTTAATGAGCCGTGTACTTTGCAAAACCAGAACAGCAACAATTAGAGGAGACAAATTGGGAAATGCAAATCTTGCTTCACTGCAATATTCATTCCCCTTTCACACAAGCGTACACCTGCTTGAGTTCTGTGGCTACCGAAGATCACATCACATCCACCCTCACGTCCAGCCAAGTGACACAGAAATATGGAAAGCTACCTTATGCTGGACCACTGATCCCTTTTAGCTCAATACGGTCAACTCTTAACTGGAAACAACTACCTGTCTTTGAAATGTAATTTAATCACATTTTGTATTTCACACACAAAGACGTTAACTTGTTCTGGCAACTGTGTTACCTCCAAGGCTGGGGGAGGAGGGATATAAGAGAGAAAAATGGAAAGATAGATAGATAGAGGAAGAAAAAGAGGGGGGAAGGGAGAAAGAATTTCTATCCATTCAGGAGATCAACCTGCAGTGTGGAATAAATGAATGAAACTGCATTTCACCCAGGGAAAAAACAGAGAGTAAATATATTTCATCACCATGTATGCAGTCTCTGGAACACACAGCAAAGCTTGGCATCCATTGAGCTTCAAAATGCAAGTGAAGAAACTATGATAAACATCATCTAGTCCAGTGGTTCTCAACCTTGGGTCACCTACATGTTCTTGGACTGCAACTCCCAGAAACCTTGGCCAGCACAGCGAGTGGTGAAGGCTTCCGGGAGTTTGAGTCCAAGAACCTCTGGAGACTCAAGGTTGGGAACCACTGCTCTAGTTTATACAGATTAAAGCAAACATTTTGGGTGCTTTAATCTGGAATAACACTGATCCCTCCTTCTCTCCATCCCCCCACTCAGGTGCACAATCCGCTCAGGAAAGAAAAGAGACAGAAACCAACGCAGGGAGTTGGCAGTCCAAAATCTTACTTACCAGGCGGAACCGTTGTCCCTGGTGGGCCGGGAGGTCCCGGAGGACCAGGGGGTCCCGGCCGTCCATCAACTCCAGGCTGCCCTGGTATGGCGAGGCCCGGGGGCCCTGACTCTCCCTTCTGTCCTCTCTCTCCAGGTAAACCCGGAGCCCCCGCAGGGCCTGTGCTAGGGATTCCTGCAGTGAGGAAAGAGATGGGATCTCAGCGGGTTACTTTGGATATTGTTCCAAATCATGGATTCAAACTTTCGTGATCTTTGGCCACTATTTATACTATGTAGAGGCAATGAGAATTTGGAAGCTCCTAATACACGACCAGATAGGTGGGATATAAATAAAATAAATAAATAAAATAAAATAAATAAACCATGGTTGCCCACTTCTTGTTTACAGCTATGAGAACCAGTTTAGCTTTGCGCCCCCCACCTAAGACAACCGGGAACTAGAATTTGGAGCCTCTGTTTCAGATTATTCACAGTTTGTTGTCCACACCTGGATAAACAGTAGTTAATCTATGGGAAAGAGCCACGAAGCTGGCTTGTTTTGCTGAACATGGTTAAGACAAGCCATGGATTCTGTTTTGGACAGCGCAGCAAATTGGGGTTAATATAAAATTGAAGCTGCTGATCTCCTCGCAGCTTGAAGGCAGCCCCAATTTCAGACATGTAAGTCCTGTAGATTGGAAGACCAAGATGATGATCTAACAAGTAACAATTGGCAAGAAAGGATGAAGTACGTAAGCCGCTTTCCTTGCTTAACTTTTTCCTATAACATCCTGCTCCCCAACTTATCATGATTGACATGTGAGATACATAAAGTGCACTCCTTAATATATGAGCAAAGAGAAATGTAGAATCTATTAAATAATGAGGAAAATTTTTAAAAAGCATCCTTCCTCTGAGATAACTTATGATGGTTAAGAGAAGTCTTTTATTTAACAGTTTTACTACATTGCGTTCTTTCTCTCTTTATATTTATAATAATGTTTTATAAAAATAGTAGAAGTTAAGCTACACTGCAGATAATCAAAACACAGTCAATTGACAGTACAGGGTTACATCCAGGTCTCATCATAATAGACCCACCAAAATCAACGGCACTTTTTAGTCAAGACCACCTTACATTTAACTGATTTCTAGGATTCTGGCCCCCATATGACAAAGTCTGGATTCAATTGACTATCAACCATCATGCTCCAATAAGCCACCTTGCTTGATTATACAGAAAAAAATGAAATCAGGATAGGTGCAAAAGAACCTTCTGGCAATATTGACTGATGGATTCCATGAGCTCTAATACCCCCCAAAACTAACTTTTTAGAGTTCTGTCTGGCCCATTATTCTCAATATTAACTGATTTTTTTTCCCTAGGGTTTCAGACAGGCGTTCTTCGAACTCTGCCTGGGATTGAACCTGCGACCCTCTGCATGCAAAGGAATCCTCGCCCAAGTTGCTGACGTTGTCCTCAGGCTCCTCTCCAAGTTGACCCAGTTGGGTTCACTAAGAGCTCAGCTACCCATGACATTCAACGCAGTCCTCTGCCTAATGGGCATCTCCAGAGAGACGTTTCATTAGGCTTCGCAGATCTGTTGGGTATTCAGCAATTATGTCCGCGGCTCTGTACAAACCGGGTGCAGGGCGGCTGTCCCTCAACCTCCTCTTATGTACAGTCCAATTTTTCTCACGACAACAACAGCCCCCTTTCTTTGGCTGTCTCTTTCATTATGACACCGGGGTGGCTTTTTAGGGGTGGGGTGGGGATGGCGTCTCGCTCCATCCCGCTGAAACGATGTGGGACTGTATGATCTCAGCTGGGGTTGGCTCCTTCAGAAATGGCTCCCACCTAATGTGCTGTGTTTGACATCACACCCGACAACAGCAGGAAGCTGTTAAAATTAACCAGACAAGTGTGGGGCACAGAGAAGGAAGCTAACCCTTTCCTCCCTGGCTGAGATCCTGAGGACAATTCTATCTTCTGAAGCCAATATTTTCTCACAACAACTATCATTTGGACTTGATCCTCAACCTTGAGTTCCCAGATGTTCCTGGACTACAATTCCCAGCAATCCCAGCCTAGTGGCAAAGGCTTCTGGGAGTTTCAGCCAAGAACACCTGGGGAACCAAGGATGGGGACCACTGCTTTAGAGACTGAACCATTTTGTGCTCTTACCTGGAAGGCCAGGTGCTCCAGGTGGGCCTTGCAGGCCTGGATAACCACGCTCGCCCTTTTCTCCAGGATATCCTGGCAGACCTTTGCTACCTTTTGGTCCAACAACAGCTCCAGTATCAGGTCTTGGAATTACCTGGCCGAGTCCGTGAACCAAGAAGAAACAAGTGATGCAAACAGAGAGGGCAAAAACAACACACAGCACATAGAAAATAGCCTTCAACATTTCCCCTACTTTTTTTTTCTCTGTATTTGAGGGGTTAAATACCGAAGGCGTCACTCCCTAGAATGTCACTGACTTGTCCATACAAATCATTTATTTTGTACTTCTTTTCCAGATATATTTATCTGCCTAGCTGTAACTAAAAAAGGTAGGTACTGAATTTATTTCAGTCCCTCATTTATTCTATGCATTCTTGCCCCATGAGGACTGAACAAACATTTATATCCCATAAATGCTGCAGAAGATAAAATGGGAAGGGACTAAGTATGGAGATTATCAAGGCTATCCAATTAATTTATATCACAGCATCAAACACCCTCCAGCATCTATCGAGCCTTCTCCCACCATACTGCCTTCTGGATATGCTGGACTATCCATCTCATGATCCTCAGGCATGAGAGGTTTAGTCCTTAGGGCATGGGACACTATGGACTACAGGCCCTATAATTCCCAAGCAACAGAATTGTAATCCATAACCCATCATCCCCAGCAGAAGAATGATGGTCTAACCAATATCGACTGTACAAGGATGGAGGCAACTAACTTTAGGTAATATTTCAAAGAACCTCATTTCACAGAACTCATTTTAAAAAAAACATTAAAAGGCACAACGACTATAAATTTGGGAAAGGATCATTTATTCTGTGCATTTCCCCCCTTATATTATTCTGGATTCCTTTTTTTTTTTTTGCTAGAAGCAGAGCATAAATGGAATATGCCAACAAGCGCTTTTTTTTTTTTTTTTTTTTGCTAGAAGCAGAGGATAAATGGAATATGCCAACAAGCAAATGAATAATAAATGGGTCCGTTCCATTATTTTTCTCAAGATATATTGTAAAAAAGTAGATGGAACCTATTATCATTGATATTGCCGTTAGATGGTTCCTTATGGAAGTGTCGCCTTCAAAATACAAACAAATGTATAAACTGAAGCATGCCATCCACGAAAAAAAAACACCATTGTGAATGTGTTGCATCGATAAACAGATGAGCAGGTAAATATTTCTGTAGTGTTCGTAACATATAGAGCTACTTTGTAGGTCTTAACAATTGTAAAACAAAACATAAAATAAATGGATTGTTAGTAACATTGGAAAAACAGAGGAATTTGGAAAAGTTCTTTGTTAGAACTATGGCAGAATCCTGTAGCCAGCATGACCAGTGATTTTGGGTTTCTTTTTTCAAGGTCCCCAAAATTACTTTCCAAAACTGTGAATGTAGGGGGAGAGAAAGAATAAATGGAGAGGAACTTACACGTCCAGGAGGACCGATCAGACCAGGTTCCCCTTTTTGACCCTGTCAACAACATTTCAGACGGTTTAGCCCCGTTTGATATCATAACAATACAGATCAAAAATGATATGCATGTGGGTTCTAGGATTCTGAGTTGTAAAGCACGCTCACCTTTTCTCCATCTCTTCCCGGAAAGCCAGGAGGACCCTGATCACCAGGTAAACCCTTTGGAAGGAAACAGGGAACCATGTAGATATCAGCCCTCAAAATAGTTAAGCTGTGCAAGATTATTATATACGTAAGAGAAGGAAAAACGCAGAAGACTCACAGTCAAGCCGGGCTGTCCAGATTCTCCATCTTTGCCGGGTTTCCCCTTTAAAATACAAATAAATATTGAACAGCAATCAAAAAAACCGCACGGTGAAAAGGTGCTGCTGGCCTTTAAGGCAGGATGCAGAATTGTCCTCTACAGCAGTACTTTAAGGAGGCATATCAGCAGACAGATGTTGTCATGAAAGCAAGAACTGAGGCTGACAAAGGCTGGAAACAAGCACGAGGGTGGCGTGAACTGTTAGGAGAACTTAACAGGAAAGCAAGCTCAGGCTGAGCCAAAGAGGATTCTGCAAAAGAGGTGAACATTTATTCAATGCATGCTACACACCATGCTTATCTAGAAAGGCAGTCAATAAAGTAAGTTCCACAAGGAAGGAAACAACAGAGGGACTGGGGGGAAAATGGACTGATTGAACTTTATTTGTGACAAAAGAATTTCATCGGAGTAAATCCAAGTCTCAAACTACAACAAGTTCTGAAGTCAGCGTAGGCATTTTCTACAGCACACAAAATTGGTTGTGCGTTACTTTGATGCTTCCAATGACCTTAAACGGGGACAATTCTCCACTGAAATTTACATCGATGGGAGTTATTCCAGTAGACCTAAGCAGCAGCATTCCTGCCTAGTGGCTCAGGGGGAAATAACTGCTTTTTTGGGGTGCCTTCTTGGTTATAAACTACTGGTAAAGATTAGACCAACTTCTCTACAAATGGTGTGAAATTCTCCTGTATGCTCTAAAAATGTCTACAATTGCATTTGTACACATCACGTCCAGAGCTTTAAAAAAAAGTTACTTTTGTGGAATTCTGATGAATTCTTGGAACTCTGAGATCTGGAAAATGTGACTTTCCAAGTGGTGGACGTGTCTTGCAGAGTGACAACCGACAATGCACGCACATGCTGTTTGGAATCATGGTGCTCTGTGATTGTGACGGACATTTGTTTTCATGCTATTCACATAATGAAACCCCTTCCACTAACATTTAGGGAGGCCACCTGCCCCAAGCCCTATGACCAAAATTCAGCTCAGCCCTTCCCCTTCAGCTATCCTATTAAAAGAAATATTGAAAGAGTCAGGAGATGGTTGTTGTGGCTTTTTCGGGTTCTTTGGCCATGTTCTGAAGGTTGTTCTTCCTGACATTTTGCCAGTCTTTGTGGCTGGCCTCTTCAGAGGATAGGAGTCAGAACTCTGTCTTAAGTCATTTATGAGATCACCCTAATCACCCAGTCTCCTGAAAAGGACGAAAACCTGATCCCACAGCTGCAAATACTCAACTATCCCACACACTACACCAGAACACAGAGAGAGTTCTGACTCCTGTCCTCTGAAGATGCCGGCTACAGAGACTGGTGAAATGTTAGGAAGACCAACCTTCAGAACACGGCCAAAGAGCCTGAAAAACACACAACAACCATCAGATCCCGGCCGTGAAAGCCTTTGAGAATACACTTAGGAGATGGATTATCAAACCGCCCTTGTTCCACCCAGGCTGATTCTCAGAACCATCATAGTCTCCGAAGCAAGCGAGATGCCTCTTCCGAGAGGTGGAAGTTCACAAGTGCCACCAGAAAAGTGACTGGCCTCTCTTTTAAGAGATGGGCCATAAATTCCAACTGTGATTACTGCTAATCAGCTCCAAGGAGGACCTTGAAACCACCACGCATGCTGCAGCTATTTCCATCTAAGAAGCTAACCTGACTTCTCCACCATCAACCAGGTGAATTTGGGACATTAAAAACAGCATCTAGGTTTGGAATTGCCCACAAGAACTTGATGCACAGCCTTGAAGAAGATGATCTATCATCAAATGCTCGCTGTTTGTAATGGAAGAAGATGATTTATCATCAAATGCTCACTGTTTGTATTCTGTGTTTTTTTTTTATTGTTTTAATGGTTGATTAAAGGTATCACCTGCTCCTGCAACTGCATTGTTTCCATAACCACACACCCTTTTCCTGATTTTTCTAGGAAACACAGGTTTCCATTCCATGCTCTGAGAAGAAGCTACCCAGCCTTATATTATGGTGGTGGGCTTGGGGACCTATGCCGACCCCAAAAGGAGAGACAAACATCAGAAAATCCCGGAAAGACGTACATCTGTTAGGAAGGCTTTACAAGAAAGTCAGGATTCCTCTCTCACAGCCCTTCTGCCCCAATGCTGTCAGGATGTGAAGGAAACATGAGGTTGTCTAGGATGCTGTTGAACTCTATCTCCCATCATCCACCACCAATGGCTACGCTGATTAGGACTTATTGTGAAAGGCAATCCAGTAACCAACCAGAGGGCCACACATTCTCCAAGCAGGTTGAAAACCCTTCCAGACAAGGCAGAATTCACAGCTACACAGCTACTTATACTATGGTTTATTGGTTGAAAGTTTCTCCTTGATTGGAAACCACCCCGAATAACGCTTGTCACTAAATTGGGTGGAAAACAAGTACATTGAATGAATGAATGAATGAATGAATGAATGAATGAATGAATGAATGCACTACTCAATCAATCCTACTTCAAGAACTATTGAAGGAACCACTGATCTTTGGTTGGTTGTTCACTTAGCATACTATATAAACCCAGCAGTAGCAGCTGTTCTGGCTTGTTTTCTCTCAAGACAGAGAAACAAATCCTTCTTTCTTCCTTGGGCTTTTTGAAACAAGCCAGAGCACCAGCTACGATGGGTTCCATGTGTGTCCTCATGGACCTACGTCAACGGCTCATTCCCGGCTGGAAACAGGAGCAATGAGGATCCTCAAACCAGCATGTTGACTCATCCTGCAAGCCAGTCTCTGGCTTACCATGATGTTCATGGTGACTTGAGCATGAATTTCTCCTTCCTTCCCACACATCCCACAAAACACTTGAGCAGCTGCAAAGAGCTGTCAGTGACCATTCCAAATGCAGAAGCAGAGAACAATTATTTAATCCACTCTGGGGAAAGTGCAATGTGTGGAAAAAGGCAGAGACCAACGGGCTCATCTCCTTCGGAAGAATCATGGTCTTGTCCAGCCGTCGTTTCATGACACCATCCCAGCAGACCACAGGAGAAAAGGAATAAAAACTTACCCAATATTTGGTGGCTCGACCTGAATTCCAAAAGCTAGACATGGTTTGGAAAGGTAAATGTTGGGTTCCAAGAAGTTACTTACTCTTTTGCCTGGTTCTCCTTGCTCACCTTTTTCACCTTTTCCACCACCAGGAGGGCCCTGGAAAAGAAGAGACACAACCCAACCATCAGCTCATCCATGCAAAAAGACTTCAAGGTTGTCCTCCTAAGACAGTGGCTCCCAACCTTGGGTTAACACAAGTATTCTTGGACTGCAACTCCCAGAAACCCCCAACCACCACAGCTAGCGGTGAAGGCTTCTTGGAATTGCAGTCCAAGAACACCAGGGTTACCCAAGGTTGGGAACCACTGTCCTAAGACATCAAGGATGGGGCAAAAGGAGTTACTTACAGGAGGACCTGGTAGTCCAGGGGGACCTGGGGGGCCTCGGTCACCTGGAACACCCTGTCAAACATGGGGGAGAAAGAGAAGATGCCGTTAAGATGAAAACTGTGCCCGTTTGTAGAAGATTTCACTTCTGTTGAAGCTACTGTACTCCACGAGGGCTCATGTCTTGGTTGTCCCTGATGGTCATCCTTCTCTCCTGGAGAATGGACACCAGGGCGCGAAAGCTCCTGCTATGCAAGGCACCGCTTGAGCCTTGCCAAGAGGCACCTACTACCCCTCCCACTGGGTTATTCAAGCCGAAATCAAGTGAAATGACAAGTGAGCGCAGCCAACCAGTCAACCTGATGGAGGGGCGACAGCGGGCAGGACGCCCGTGGCATCGTCTTCTCTCACTCACCTGATCTCCTTTCTGAAATTCGACATCTTCGGGTCTCTTCTGTTCGCCAATCTGCCCTGGTGGCCCCGGAGGCCCTTGGAGGCCCTGCTCACCCTAATTCACCAAAGGAGAAAGAGGGAGAGAATTACACCTTCCTTAGTCAGCCTCGTTGGACGGGTCGCTACCAGCAAAACCGAGCGGCAGCACATCAGCTCAAGCGTTCAGACTCACCTTTTCTCCTTTGGAACCCTGGAAGTTCAGGCCCATATTGCCCTGGAGGGGGGGAAAATAACAAGTCTTTTATTTATACCCTGGCTATCATAAAATAGTCTCTGTCTCCCTCTAGTGGCCAGCTCTAGTAACTACATCGTGGAAATATGCAGCGGGCAGGACGCCCGTGGCATCGTCTTCTCTCACTCACCTGATCTCCTTTCTGAAATTCGACATCTTCGGGTCTCTTCTGCTCGCCAATCTGCCCTGGTGGCCCCGGAGGCCCTTGGAGGCCCTGCTCACCCTAATTCACCAAAGGAGAAAGAGGGAGAGAATTACACCTTCCTTAGTCAGCCTCCTTGGACGGGTCGTTACCAGCAAAACCGAGCGGCAGCACATCAGCTCAAGCGTTTAGACTCACCTTTTCTCCTTTGGAACCCTGGAAGTTCAGGCCCATATTGCCCTGGAGGGGGGAAAAATAACAAGTCTTTTATTTAGACCCTGGCTATCATAAAATAATCTCTGTCTCCCTGTAGTGGCCAGC